CTCTCTCTCTCTCTCTCTCTCTCTCTCTCTCTCTCCCTCTCGTTTTGTTCTCCTTCCTCCTTCCTCCCTTCTGTGACTTTTCATTCTGATTGGGAAAAGTTCCTTTTACTCAGAGGACCAGATTCGCCATAAAATGCCAAAGGACGCAAAGAAAGAAAGAGGAAAACCAAAAACCAATCTTTTGTCCCCTTAGTTAACATCTTGCAAGTAATATTGAAAATGCAAAATGCTTTTTTATATATATACTGTTGTTCCTTCCTTTCCTTCTCTTTTCCTTAATTGCCTCATTTCACATCCCTCTCCTTTCTGCGCTCTGTGCATGCCTCTGGTCTTACTACTATCTGTAGTCATTCCTCCTCACCCAGTTGTTACATCCTTGCCCAAATTTAACAGTCAGGTGGGTTGCCTTACCCTGTGACCCTTTTCCAACAACCCTGCAATTTTCTGAGGAGCAATAACTACAACGGATGCATCTGTGGTGCGTTGGAATTACTATGCTGGGCATAATATAGATGCACTCAGAACAGGTACTCATGCAGAGTCACTGCAGAGGGCAAATCATTCTCCTGCATTTATCCACTGACTCTGTTGACAAACTGGATCGGGCTAAATCAGGTTGGATCGTTCAGCCTGTCGTAGGAACCCTGTCGTTGGCTTAGCACGATGCGCGCACAAGCTGGCTGTCGCATTAAGCCAGGAAAGGTGGCTTCCTTAGGCGTTGCATGTTGTTATGCTTTAGTAGTAGATTCTGCACTGGGTGGGAGTTGGATTTGACGGTCTCGATTCCGACTTCTCCATTCTGTGATTTGGTGCAAACACAAACATTGCATTTTGTGGAATTGAGGATTCTTCACGTTGAATGAAATGGGATTAATGGCTTTTCCTCACCCCACATGGTCCTGCTCAACAAGCTCCTCTCCATGTGAAGGAGGTGGATTAGAACAGGAACTCTCCTAGAAAAGTAGGAGAACATTTTCCCAACCATTCTTGGTCACCAAACATTGGAGCACATGTTTTTCAGTCAGTCTGATAGCAACTGGAAGACGTCCACCACCTCCATGTTCAGTCTCAGGATCCCACCAATCCACCATCCAAGATGGGTACCCAATGGGACATGTCCACCATGTTTCTGGACCCCCCCAGAGTGTTGAGTTGATGGCCATGGTTGGGAACATTAGATCCATTTCCGGGAGCCTCTTGTCAGTTGTCCCTCTTTGGAGGTCCCTCCAGAAGGTCCCTCTCATCGTGGCCTCCTCGGTCCTCCATCTACGTCCCCTGCTTTGTGTTCTTCTGTTCCTCTCTTGGCCCTTGTTTCCTTCTGTTGGGTCAGAAAAAGACAGCTCCCAAAAAACCAGCTGCTTTCCTGCCATCCCAACACAGTTTTCTCGTTGGAAAGTTCTCCCGCGTCCTCCGATTTTTCGAGGCCTTGGTTTGCCTTGCTTGCAAGATGTAGCCCAACCTCCCATCCCATCCTCTCCTCCTTTTCTTTCTCCTGTTTGGTGTCGTGGCCTTAATGTCAGTTGGACAGCATGCTTGTCACTCTTCGGGCTAATCCCTTTCTTTCCTTTCCGTTCCCCTCCATCTTCTTGCTCCTATTTTGCAGAGACGGTACGAGCCATGACCCACGTTATCAACCAAGGAATGGCTATGTATTGGGGAACATCACGGTGGAGCTCCATGGAGATTATGGTACTGCGCCCATGTGCAAGCACACACACATAATTGTTTGCTAATCCAATCAATTAAGAAAAGGTTGTTTTCTTGCCTAATTAGATTTTGCCCAGATGGGGAGCAAGCCAGCTTGGAGCTTGGAAATAGTGAAACGGGCAGTGGAACTCTGGACAAAATCAGAACTCAGTTGTCTTCCCCAAAGATTTTTCTTTCGCCACTTTCCACACCATTTTGCAAATTGGGGGAAATCTGCCTGTTTTCACACCCGTTCTCCTACAGTTGGCATGTTTCCATCCAGTTTTTCTTGGTGCTCTGCCAACTGCATTTCCACAATACAGTGAGGTTTTCTGCAAATGCCCCTTTTCTTCCCTCCATCATAAAATTCAGAGAGGCATTTGTTTCCAAAGTAGTTGGCTATTTTGTTCCCAAAGATATAAAAAGATATAATTTTTCCTCCTTAGGTAGATGTTCTCTGTAGTTACTCAGTGATAAGGTGGACAACACTTTGCATGCCCCTGATGTTATATAAGAAAGACCTTGAGAAATGGGGTAGAGAGATGTTGCTTAGGGAACAGTCAGATAAGAGAGGGCGTAGCCTGCAGCTGCATAACGGGCAGAGAAGGACTCAGAAGGGACTCTCCCTAACTTTTCTGGCTGTAATGGAGATGGCAGGAGAGATGTTCTTTCAGACTTGCAAGATTCTGTTAATGTAGCTTTACAATAAAGTAGAATTAGTTCATCTGGTCATGTTTCCTGTCTGGTCTACCTGGGAAGGCTGACACCTAAGCTGTTTTCTCCCTTCAGGAAGCTTATTCTGTAGCTCGGCAGTTCAACCTGATCCCTCCCATCTGCGAGCAAGCTGAATATCACATGTTCCAACGGGAGAAGGTCGAAGTACAACTTCCAGAACTTTTCCACAAGATTGGTGAGCCCTCCCCATTCATTACGTGCATTCTTCAGCATCCCTGAAGTGGATGTGATTATGTGTCTAATCCAATTTTTCTGGGCTAGTTCTTTTTAGTCAAGATGTGCAAGAGCTAAAGATCTTGAATCTTTGGCTGCCAAGCCTGAAATTGATATCCCAATTCCCTTTCGAGCAGGGCATTATCAGGGGGGGTCAAAAAAGTCAAGATGGTGCCCACAACCCCAGCTCCACTGCTTTTTTGCAAACAATAGCGCTTTTATCATATGGTCATCAATGCCATCTTGGCTTTTCTGACACACGCACATCCACTCCAAAGATACCTTTTCTTCAGAGGGATCTAATTTGGAACGAATCCATGCGGCTTTACCCTCAAAATCTGTTGCTACTGAACAGTTAGCAGATTTTGCCCTGGACTAAGTGTATTTCACACTGAAAGATGGCGTGGCTTTCCTCATTTCTGCTATTTGGGTTTCAGGAACCCAGCCAATATAATTTAGTAAAGCTGTGGCTTAGCTGCCTCCCGTCCTCAAGGCAAGGAGAACACTTGGAAACTCGCTTTCTTAACCCTGGGTTAAAAAGGAATGAGTTCAGATTAGAAGAGAAATACAAAGCACGTCTAGATGTCTCCTTCCGTAGTTGCGAAACAATATTTATCTGCACAGCCCCTCCAGGTCTGATTCCTTGCAATCTGGCTTCGCTCTTCTCTCCTTCGTCGTGCAGCCTCCTGTCCTCACCAGCCTCTTCTTTTTCCAGGCGTAGGAGCCATGACGTGGTCCCCCCTGGCGTGTGGGATCGTTTCAGGGAAGTATGATGGCGGGATCCCACCCTACTCACGAGCGTCACTCAAAGTGAGCACCCCTTTCGCTTTCCTCTTGCCACTCCGCTTTGCTGCTGGGGAGGCATAGATCATGGCCGTACCGTCTTCTTTCTCCCATCTAGGGTTACCAATGGCTGAAAGATAAGATCCTAAGCGAAGAAGGGAGACGGCAACAAGCAAAGCTGAAGGAGTTGCAAGCTATTGCCGAGCGGCTGGGCTGCACCCTACCTCAGCTAGCCATTGGTAAGTGGGAATGGGGGCTCGCGTTCTCTTGATAACCAACTTAGGTTATCGTAGTGGGGAGTTCCGCGGGCGTTAAGTGATAGCAGATGGCCATTGCGTGGGACGAACTGGGAGAGAAGTTCAGATGGATGGAGCCGCAGCCATATGTTGGAAGCCACCGTTTGCTTGTTCCCGTTAGCCCTCCAAGGTAGATCTCAGACTAGGAATCCAATGTCATGTGGATCAGGACTACTTTTATTGTAAAGCTGTAGTGACAGAATCTTGCAAGTCTGAATGTGCTTCCCCCGCCCCTTTATCGTCATGAAAACTAGGGGGGCCTTGTCTGAGACACTTATGTTACATTTTTACCCTGGACTCTGGCCCTTCTTATCTGACCATTGTCTTGGTAGCAGCTCTTCCTCCTGTCTCTCAAGGCCATTCCCTCTGTCCTCTATAGTTTCCCTACATGGGAAAGATACAGATGTCACTTCTGAAACAAAACCTAATCAGATTTTACCCCTTGATACCCCTTAATGTTCTCCATTTTCCCACAGCGTGGTGTTTACGCAACGAAAGTGTCAGTTCAGTCCTGCTGGGAGCCTCCAATGCAGATCAGTTGATGGAGAATATTGGAGCAATACAGGTAAGAAACATGGGGGTCTTTGGGGCCAAGGCAGGGGGTTGAAATCAAAGTCATGAATTTTCACAGCTTGGCAGCAAAAGCCACTGTTTTTTCGCTATTGTTATGTGCATAGTAACTTCATGTGATGCCCTGTGCACCATTCATTTGTGTCATTTGCACAATGTTGTCACACACATAAAATCACAACAGTTTATATAAGGCATCTGTGAGTATATTATTTGAAAAGTTATTTGAATAGGTGGTGACTTTTCTTTTCCTATACTTGCAGGGCCTAGAAGTGAAATTGTTTTTCCCCCGAATTAAGACTATTTTTATGTTCCAACAAATCAAGCTTTTAACCGTCACCACAATCTCTTGGCACACCATTTTGGTATAGTGGTAAAGGTGCTGACCTAGAAACCAGGGGAATATGAGTTCTAGTCCTCATTTGGGCATGAAAGCTTGCTGGGTGACTTTGGGTCCAGCCACTCTCTCTCAGCCCTACCCACCACACAGAGTTATTGTTGTGGACAGGTAGGAGTATTAAGTATGTTAAGGAGTATTAAATATGTATTATATCGCTTTTTTAAAAACTAAAAATCACATAACTTTAAGCTAAGAATACATATTAAGACTATGAACATTTAAAATTGTATCTCTCCTTAAGATTTGAAATGTATTTATGTTTACTCCTAAATTCTTCTTGCTTATTATGCTGTGTCTTTTTTTTCTTTTTTATGTTGGATTGATAGACGTTGATTAAGGATGTTAGTTCCTTAATATTGTTAATTAAAAATTTAATCTGAAACAGATGGGTGGTCCACAGGCAGGAGGTAACTCTCAGCTCTGCACCGGTGGGAGCAGAGCCAAAAAATTCAGACCTTTTTTTTTTTTTTTTCCACTTAAGAAAGGCTGAACCATGTGCAAGGTTTAGAGAACCAGAGTACTCCTGAAAACTCTGGGAATCCTCTCTAAATTAACTCAGTCTCAAGGTGTTTTTCCCAGATGGATGCTGGGCAGGAAAAGGGTACAAGAATCCAATTTTATGCTGTAGCATTCTCCTCTCATTTAATCCTTTCCTTCTGACAGGTTCTTCCCAAACTCTCCTCTTCAATTATCCATGAGATCGATAGCATCTTGGGCAATAAACCTTACAGCAAAAAAGACTACCGCTCTTAATAGGAGAGGCACTGGGGGCCCTGGTTAACCTGGGACTTATCCTCCCTTCCTCCTCTCTCCTGTTTGCTTGCTTAAGCTATTCTGAAGAAGCCGAGCGAGCACTACAGTTTGCATCCAAGAAAACCACACTGGGCCTGGAGACATTCCTAGAGAAACCCGTTTTCCAACGTGGCCAGACCGTGTGTAGGCTTCTTTGCTTTTTCTCCCTCCCCCCCCCACCCTTGTGAATGCAAGAACCACCATAGGCTGGGAAAAGACATGTGGAAAATTGGGTCAATCTGGGCTTCAGTGCTTCCTTTTTGTAAAGGAAAAGCGAATCTTTGGTCCCATGTTTACTTTTTGGTTCTTTTTTTCCAACGAACAACTCCTAGGCACAAGTGTTAGTGTTTTTAAAATTTATCTGGACAACCCACCCACCTACCCCTCGCCACAGTTAAGAGCTGGCACTTTCTTTTTTAAAAAACAGGCATGGATAATGCTAAGGTTATTATTAAAAGCAACAATGCTGGTCACTTTGTTGAAGTCTATAAGCTTTGGCCAGCCTCCTGCTCACATTAGAAACTGCTTTTTGGGAACAAATGCATGTATCCTTCCCAACCAATCACTCGTGTCATTTTTTTTTAAGTTTGGAAACAAAATAGATTAACACCCGGTTCAAGATAGAGGTGGGACGGCTCTCAAAAGTCTGGCCAGAAAAGATGCATTTCTTCAGGCATCTGGTGAGAATTAACCCAGGCAGAATCTGCTGGGTCTCTTCTGGAAGAAGGGAGCTGGAACATTTCTGGATGCGACAGCGGTGCACAGTTTGTAGGACGGAAATGGCTCAGTCTCTCCCAAGGTCTTGCCTCGGTTATTTTTCCAGAAATACCCTCTTTGCTTCAAATAACTGTTCAATATTTCAAGGCAACATTCAGGTCAGCTCAAGCCACGTTCCAGGAAGTCCCCAAATCTGTGCTGTCCCATGCTCTCCCCCACCTCCTCCTCTTGAGAATCAGTTCAACATAATTCTCCTCTCACGTTTTAGAAACCTGCTGGGAGTCGCACGGGCCGTGGCGATGGCATAGTTGTCCCCTGCCCTGGGGGGGGGGCAGTCTGAGAAGGGAGTTTGCCATTGGCGTTCCCCATACATCCATATCTTCTGGGGAAGAGTTTCAGAGAAGGATGTGACTCCTGCCGTTGGTGGTTGATGTGCTAGTCGTGCCTTAGTGAAATGCAAAATTTAAATTCTTGTGGGGCGGGGGGGAAAGAGTCATATCCTGTTGTTTAAAAAAAAAAAAAAAGGCCTGATTGAAAATGTTTGCGTGCTTCTCTTTCTCCCCCTACCTCTTGTCCTTCCTCCTTATGTGGGCTTGGATCAAACTACATCATATCTAACCGCTCATGGACTTAATTAAGACTTTGGGATGGCTTAAAAATGAAGGCACATTTTTCAGTAAGCCTTCCTGGAAAAAAAACAAAACACAGAGCAACCTTTGCTGACTGGGTTCTCCTGAATACTTCCAACTCCAGACCCGCTCTCCCCCAGCAGTGGGAATCATTGTCCAAAACATTTGGATGACACCACCTTGAAGGCGGTTGTGAAGGTTTCGATTGCACGAATAGGCTGAACCTCATAGAAATGCTTTTCCTACTATGTTACCATACATGCCATGGCCTGTATGAATGGAATTCATTTCCGGTCATGGAAATGCTTACAAAAAGGCATTGGTCACCCCCAGAATCTTAGAGCTTAATACCCTGCTCAGTCCTGGAATCCAAATTCAAGCTTCCCTGAGAGATCCAGAAGAAGAACCCACACTCACTGTTAGGAGGTGAATTGGAACATGCCTCCTGCACCATGAATTCATTATTCCACTCCCTGCATTTCCAGCTTCTTCAAATTCTCTTTGCTGGGCTTAGCTTGTATTTCTCTGATCTTCCCCTCTACTCTTTTCTGATCTTCCCCTCTACACTTTTCTGAACACGCTCTAATACAGTGCAGAACTGGACACAGGACTTGACAAGCGGGGGCCCAACCACCACAGAATAAAGCCAAACCATTACTTCCTGGGATTTGGAAATGACGCTTCTGTTAATGCAGCCTAAAATCGCATTAGACTTTTCTGCAGCCCCATCACACTGCTGGCTCGTATTCAGTTTCCAACTTCCTATTTGGAGATCATTTTGTTTCTAAGAGAACCTTATTGACCAGAAGCTGATTGAAACTCAATTTTACTTTTAAACTATCTGTTCCATAGACTTGCTTTGATCACTTTTACAGCTCATGGGTTTGAAGCTCAGCATTTGAGGAGGAGGAGGAGGAAAATCCAAAATAGATACAGCATCCTTCCCTTACATTTCCAAAACTGCCAAGTTCAGTTCTCAGTTTAACTGAGAAGTAAACAATTCCGTACGACTGTTTGTTTCCAAAGAACTGAAGATTCCATTAAAAAAGCAAGTTTTTTGTTTTTATTTTTAATTATTATTATATTTCTACAACCTGCTGAATATTTTTTCCCCAAAGGCAAAAATGGGACTAATTTTAAAAAAAAATGTCTGTAGACACCATAGGAGCTGGGGAACTGTAAAAATAAAAAACTCTGAAATGCCCAGAAAAGTCTTCTAACAAACAAAGGTGCTAAACTATGCCTGGTTTCCACAAAGTGCTGTAACATGGGTCAGTTCATTTCTGATCATGATTTTTGCTCTGTGTGCAAAGCAGGTAACAATGCTTGTTTAACAAACATTGCTTTTAAAAAAGAGACAAGCCTGCTTTCTTGGCATGCAGTGTAACGCCAGCTGTTGAGTCCATGTCGAAAACAGAAGTCATGACATTTAGTTTCAAGGTTTTCAGCCCTGAACTTGGCTTCTTGGTTTTTGAGGGCTCTTAAGTTGGCAGGTGTGAACAGAAGGGAGCTTGCCTCGCCATTGCCACGTTGAAGGCAATGGCACTCGAGCCCTGCCATGGCCGGAAGACGAGATGACCCGAAGCCAACTTTGCCATCCTGGAGTTCGAGAGCTCTTGGTTTGGGAGTTAGAGGCCGGTTCTGAGTTCAAAAGTGAGTTTCTTCTCTTCCCTCTCTCAGGGAGGGGATCAAGAGGAGCATAGCTGAAACTTGAGCCTTGCCAAATGCTCGTGGGCTATCTTTTTTTCTGCAAACATCGGTCCTGGTGCATCTAAACAGCCTCCATTCCTCCCTCAGACAGACCCACCAGGGTCTTCCAAAGGACATTTCGTCCTGCAGATGGGTTCTTCAACCCACGGTGCAAGGCCGCTGCTCAGCGGGAGATTTTCTTCCTCAAAGCCACGTGGGTTCCCCCCAGCTCCTCTCCTTCTCCAGGCAGTATGGAAGTTGAAGTACAGATGCCCTTGGAGGAGATGAACATTGGAACTCCAAGCCCCATCCTGCTCATGCTGGTTGGGAATCTGAAGATGGTCCCCAACCAAACCAGGTTGGTGGGGAATTCAGAGTAACGTTTTCCTAGTTTCCCAGCCAGATGGGTCATTAGGCCCCAAAGATCGCAGGGCACCAAGTTGGAGAAACTTTCCTCGAGGGAACCACAGAAGCCGTGACTTGGAAAACAGGCGCCCAGCCAAGTCTGTTCTCCTTTCTTTAGACAGCAAAGGATTAACATCCCTCCAACTCACAGAAAGGCATCATTCTGCTAAAATAAAATAGAAAAGCTATCATTCAACAGAGTGACGCTGCTGCATGTTACTCCTCTAAGTCTCGTAGAGTTTTGCCACCTCTCTTGGGCTCCCTTCTTTTCTGGGTTGACAAGTGCCCTTTGGAATAAAATTGTGGAGTGCATTATTAAATATATATAAATAAAAAGAGGCCACTGAACATAGCTGTCTGCGATCCAGAAAATTTCTTGGAAATTGAGATGATGTGCCGAACAGGCCCTTTGCTTTGCCTCTCACAAGGCTTTCCTTTCTTAAAGAAATAAACTTAAAAAAAAAAAAACCAAGCCACACGGGCCAAACAGTGGCACCAGGTACAGCCATCTCCGTGGATACTCTGGTGCCCACCCTGGCTGTGGAATGAAGCAGGTCTAGATCAGCCAAGGAAGAAATTTGCACCACTTTTGATATGTTTTAGAATGAAGGAAAGGAAATTTTAGAATCCTAAAAGTTTTCTATTGGAGGCAATCTTTTTAAAATAGTCCGCTCCGCAAAGCGAGACGGCAGTGTTTCTCGCTAGGTTGCACGGAACTTCCCCGAAATCTCTCCTAACGGTTGTAATTTCTGAGGACAAATTGCTGGATGGAAAAATAAGCCGACACGAAATGGCAAGGCTCTGCCAGAGACATCCATAACAGCTGCTTTTCTCGTAGACGGGCCCTCCAGATTCCTCTCTTCTTTGCTTTTAAGGCATCATGTCTATTTTTCATGCAGCTGCAAATGTACGAGGTGGTGGTGGTCTGACTCTCCAGGCTGAGTCCAGCCAAACTTCCAGTATTTCAAAAGGGTGAGACAAGTGACACCCTCTTCCTCTCCACGGAAGGAACCCTAAATCCTCAGTGATGGATGAAGGTCCAGATCTTGCCACCCTCAACAAAAAACAACCTGTCTTCCTTCTTCCAAACTTTCTTCTTGGTTCCTGAATTAACCCATTTGGGGGGTGGTTGGCACAAAACAGACCCCGATGTGAACCAGGTCAAGCGTGTTGTGTGAACACGATGCAAGCTGAGGGTTGTAGGGTGGGAACGGGCCCTGTGGGGCTTTCAAGACCCACCCAGTTCCCACCTTTAGATCCAATCTGCAAAAATACCACTCCGAGTGTGAACTCGTCAGTAGAGCTTAGTTTCCAGCTCGTGTCTTGCTTCTCCCCCCCTAAAAAAAGGCCATTCTGATTTCTCTGTAACCCCCATTTCCCATCCCTCTTCAATCTGGAAGCACCAGATAATCTCTCGGAGGGGACTAGGGTGCTGTACGGTTTCCAGACCCATCCTATCTCCCTCTCTGCTGGGTTAGCCATGTTGGCCAACTGGGCTCAGGAGAAATCTGAGTCGGCCCAGGAAGACTTCCAGGAGTTGTGTGTTGCGTTCTGTGTAAATAAAAACCCATTTTCCGTTCTTCCCAAATCTGTAAATCTCCCAAACGACAAACCACAGATCTCTAAACATGGCATATACGACTGTGATTATTCCCAAGCTTAACTGCGTAACCTTCTGGGCGCCTCCATCATACTTCTTAACAAAGATTTGGATTGATAAGAGAACAACTACTGTATTTACGGAATGAATGAACAACTAGCTAAATAAATCAGGCCTTATTTGATCGATAGTGTTCCAGCAACTCTTCCTTTGTTGTGTTTCGTGTCCTTTGGTGGTTTGAGATTGGGAGCTGAGCAAGGGAGGACCTGGCTACTGCTTGGATGGAACACCACCAGGAAACCCTCTGGGTGTAGGCTAGAGTGGGAAATGGGGGGAAAACATCACACTGGAAGAAAACAAGTGGTAAACCAGTTCCGTGTTGTGGCTGAGATGGTGGTGTGGTTGCACTGACATTTGGAACCCACAAAGTACAACCAGTGCTACCCTCTGGTGGTTGATATGGGGTACGTCAGCTGCAAAGGCAAAAGTAGAAGGCTGTATATCAACAGAGTGAACTCCGCCCTCTGGTGGACATGTCTGGTCATTGCAGCTAATAAACACATTATATAGCAAACACTTTAGATATTATTATTATGGTTGGTTGCACAATCAGCCAGATGTGTAGACTGGATTTGGCATTTTTATCCACTTAACGAGCCCTTCCCAAGGACTTACTACTACTACTACTATTATTATTATTTCTATTCTCAATTTGCATACAAGCCTATCCAAGGTCTCTGGTCTCATTTCACACTACCCATGGTGGTCAATATGGGTACTGCAGCATATAGGAAAACACAGCAAAGGCTTTATTGGGGAGGAAGAAGGAAATTCTTTTGGGCTGGAAAGAGTGTGCTTAAATGTCCTTTTCTCATATTAAGTGCAAGGTAGTAATTGGGGTGGGGAAGCACAGCTCCTGATGGGAGCTTTTGGCTGTTTCTGCCACCAGATGTCAAGAAGAGGGGCTTTTTGGCCAAGCAAGAGCAAAGTCTGCCCTCCGGTGGTTAGGTCTGACCATTACAATCAAAAAGAGAAAGTGATGCTGCCTCCCAGTGGACAAAACATGGTATTGCAGTTGCATATGCAGAGATGGAGGGATATGAATAGCAAACTGACCTCTTGTGGACACATCTGGCTACTGCACTGAGCCAAAGACAGCCAATACTGTGCCCTCCAGTGCTGAAATGAGGTATTGCAGTTGTAGAGAAAGAGGCAAATATGAAGAAGGTTGGAAAATACTTTGAGGTTGGAAAAGGGTTCAATATCCCCTCCCCATATTGACTGCAAACAGTCATCAGGAAGCGGGAAAGCTCCCTTAGGGGCCAATAGGAGCCTTTGGAAAGTCATCACGGAGAGCCAATGCTGCCCTCTAGTGGTGAATTCAGTGTCCAGGCAGTCCTTGCTAAATAGAGAACATCAACACATTTTCCAATATTTCCACTAATATCCGATACTGCCAATTTAGGACAGTGCATGTCAGTGTGTACATTGGTTCCACAAAGCAAAATAAAATACATTTCTTACCCATTCTCACCTCATTTCAAACACAGAAATCTGACAGAAAAGTAGGCATTTTTTTCCTTTCAATTTCCTTTTCAAAATGATTTATTAAAACATGAAACTGAAAAACCAACAGGAAAAAAGAAGAAGAAAAAAACCACCTTTTCTAACTTTCACAGGAAGAAAGGAATTAAAACGCATTTTAGGTGGGTTACAACCTTGTCCAAAGGCCTCCGGAAGAAAACCCTGCTTTGCTATCTCTATTTGCTGATATGACACGATTAAAAACTCAGCAATGTGGCAAAATAGCTTAAAACATGTATTTCCCCAAACTCGGAATCCCAGCCCCGCGGTGCATGTTCAGAAATCAAAACTGCCACACTTAGCACAAAAATCACCTTTTTTGGGTCTTCTCTTCCTTGTACTAAAAAGAGGCAGAGAAGCAGGGAGGTCTCCAACCAGAATTCCACGATTGGACAATTCTGAATTGTCTGAATCCGGATCTTGCAGGCACTCGCCTTCCAGACGGCAATAGAGTACCCAACAATGAAAGGCTAACAACCCCCAAGGCTTCCCTCAGCCTGGGTTCTCATAATTATTCTTCCTTTTCAAGCTCAAATTCATCATTAACTATAAGCCCATAGTGACCAAATGGGCAGAGTTAAGGGTATCGGCACAGGGACAAGGCAATTCTTTCCATTATGGCCTCTTCCTACCCAAACCAGTTGTCCAGAACAAAGGGTGTTTAGGAATCCATCAATTATCCTAGTTGGTTCACGGCTCAGATCCAGGAGGAACAAACGTTCCCTGCTGAATTCTTTACTGCACTGTGTGACCCTTGGATCTGGCTACACACCTTCCCTGGTCGTCACTACAAGTCAAGAAGGGAAGCTTGGACAGAGGGTGTGTAGAGAGCCAAGAAGACAACCTGGACGGAGATATGCAGGAGCCGTTGCCTAGACAAAAGGGGCTGAAACCTTGTTTAAGCCCAGAACATCCGGATAACGTTTGGCAGCAGCTCAGGCAGACTCCCCCGATTCACTGGTGGAGGAGGAATCACCATGCAATCCGACTCAAGATTGATGTCGGTCCCACTAGGTAGACCAGACCAGGACATCCACTCCACAGGAAAGCTAGAACTACCTTTACTGAGATTGGCTATACAGGTAGACCTCAGTTAATGACTATAATTGGAACTGGCAACTCCGTCACTAAGCAATGCAGCCATAAAGCAAAAACATCACATGACCACAGCAACTTACAATGGCAGTTCCTAGCTGCAGTTGTTAAACGAATCATCCGTTTAAGCTGTTTTTGACACCTAGTTAAGCAAGGTGTCATATGACCATGACTTGTGACTTCCTGCTGGCTTCCCCATTGACTTTGCTTGTCAGAAGCAAACTACGAAGATTGCAAATGGCCATCGTGACCACAGGACGCTGCGACCGTCATAAATGCATGCCAGTCAACAAGTGCCAGAATTGCAATTACGTGACTGTGGGGATGCAACTTCAAGGACCAGTCGTAAGTCTCTTTGTTCAGCATCGTCGTAACTTTGAACAGTCGCTGCATGAGTGGTCACTAAGTCAGAATTACCTGTAATAACCGAATCTTGCAAGTCTGATTGTGCTGTATCTCTTCATCCTTCTTATAGTTCAGTGAATCGGGGGTGTCTGTTCTGGCTGCTCTGGACTTAAAACATGCTTTCGCCTCTTGCCTAGACAACTATCAGAATCCTCACAATCAACTGCCTTGCTAGTTTCCTTGCTTCGTTTCTGCCATTGTAGTGATGGGGAAGAAGTGGGGGGAAACCATTAGGAGCAGATGGACTGTTATCTGGTTCTCAGGAATGCCCAAGGTCGTACCAGCGTGAGACCGGAGAGAATCTTTGACATGTGCAAGAGAGACTCAGAGACAGAAAGGGAGGAAAAAGGGGAATGAGGTAAAACTGAATGAGGTAAAACTCCGTTCCAGCAATCGCTTTAGAGCTGTGCACTACTTTTCCAATAAACAAATTCTTCTTTGAACCTGCACTGGTTTCGAGGAGAATTGCTTCCATTGGGGACTGTGATGGAATGGAACTATGAAGGCCAGGCTCAGGGAGATAAGCATTTTCTTAGCTCGTCACAGGAGCATGGGAGGAACAAGAGGATGAGACTGGCACCTCCCTGAAGAATTCACACTGTTGTGGCTGGCTGGGTTTGGAGCTTGGGGTTCAGTCTGGGGAGATTCTTTTTATAAGGTGTAGCTTATAAAAATAAATGAACTTTTTTTGT